AGAGTACGGTGAGTCACGAGGAAATTTCAGTTTTAACATTTCAATTTCATCTTAGACATTTCACTGTGTTAATAGAAAAGTGATACAAGTAAAAAATTAGCATTTTTGAGGCAATGAAAGGAAATCGACCCTGAAGACTAATATATTTTTATGGAAAAACAATACATTTTCTATACTCTACTGCCCAAGCAACAATTGGACATCCTTCGACGTCCGAAATATTCGCCCTGAAAAGTCCAATTTATGTCGCTGTATGTTAAACCGCGCCTGAAATACGTTCTAAGGACATTGCTTGGATGTCCTATAATGAAGTTACTTACAGATATTTTAGGGATGTCCAAGGTACGTTGCTAACATATATTTAATTTTCAAGCAGTATGCGAACAATCGTCGTCAGCAAGATCCGAGGATCAAGAACTATCAAATAACTTTATATATATTTATCTTGGAGCTCAATAACTGTTCGATGTCCTTCTTTTTGTTTTCAACAATTTATTGGTCAGAACCTTGGTGGAAAAATGTTGCTGAAATTATTCCACGTTTTGGAACACTTTTCAACAAAATTTCAGCATTTCAAAAAAATTTCAGTTTAATTTCAGCGATTTTTAGCCGAAAAATTTATTTTCGACAAAATTTCAGCAAAATTTTCAAATTTCAGCAAGAATTTCAGAGAAATTTCGGTTGGATTTCAGTGATTTTTCAGTATATTAGCTGAAAAATTCACTTTCAGTAAAGTTTCAGCAAATTTTCAGCAATTTCGCTGAAATGTTCCAAAACGTGGAATAATTTCAGAATTATCTATGCCATTCGAGATTGGACGTACTAACGATGTCTATTAGACGTCTTTGGGCGGTACATTGTACCTAAGGAATTTACGGGATTTGGTTTAGATGTCCATATGACGTCGAATTGTTGCTTGGGTGGTACTGAAAAATGAGACTACAAGAACATCATACAAGTATATGTAAAATTTATGTAGCATTAAATAATGTAAGCCTAAAGATAAATATTTTACAATTTTTATTCTGATACTGAAGATGACCTAATCTCAAAACGTTTAAAAGTTATCGTTGTTATATTATTGTTATATACTAAGGATAAATAGAATATTGCACTAATATCTTTGCATTGGCTTTTATGCTCCTTGAATAATTATTTTTGAGTAATACATTTGTCGACATACAGCTTATATGGAAAGGTACCATAACTTTGATAAGAGATGAAATTTAGACAATCCTATAGAGTTGCAGTATTGGAATTTTGAAAACTCAAATGACACAGTTTTAAAGACTATATTATAATTGAAAGTAGAAAAAGACATAATTTGTTCAAATTAATTAGAAAACGACCAAATAAACGAGCATACATGTCGTTTATTAATTATTATTTAATATTAGGGTAACATACCGAATATCTAATGTCTAGACGTTTCGACTCACAGAGTCTTCTTCAATATATGAATTTAAAAGAGCCTATTTTACTATACATAATTACTGTTATATGTCGGATTTCATCTATTTTCCGAATGTCTTATCTAACGTCTAGACATTAGATATTCGGTATATTACCCTAATATTAAATAATAATTAATAAACAACATTGTATGCTCGTTTATTTGGTCGTCTTGTAATTAATTTGTTTTGTTGTGCAAATATCGAGCGATATTCATATTCTTTGTTATAATTTATTCAACTTACATTATCAAGAAGAGTCAACTATAACTGAACATATAATGTAAAAAGAAAGTGAAGTTATGCAAAGATTCAAAAAGAATTTTTAAAATGCTCTACTGGAAGGTTTTTAACTAAGAAACATGTCACTTTCCTATTAACGTGACGATTTCAACAGAATAACTTTTTGTTTTCAACACCTCAAATACTGATTGTTTACAGGCCCGTGCTATTCACGGCGGAAGGACTTGGACGGGAGCCTTGACGTGTCGCCTTCTGGGAGACCGGAGGAGTCGCAGAGATGGACGTGAGCGCGTTGTTCAAGGCCAGCGTGAAGGCGGTGAATCTGCGGAACAGGGACCTCGGTACACCGGCAGCGGAGAGCCAGCCGCGGAGGACCAGAAGCAAGAGCACCTTCTGCGTGAAGGCGCACGTAGTGATCGTGCAAATCTCCAAGCTGCGCGAGTTCCTGCTGGAGAACCGCAAAGCCTACCTGAACTTCTCCAACTATCTGTCCACAGCGCCGCACATGACGGATGTGGAGCGCGACGAGATCGACCTGGGTGCGCAGCGGATAATGAGCACCTGCTCGCAGCTGGTGAAAGACTTGAAGCGAGAGATCGCTGCGTCGACGGAGATCACCCAGCAGAACATCGAGCATCGCGAAATTATGCTCCTGCTGATAGAGGATTACTTGAAGAACGTCTGCAAGATATACTCCGAGCAGAAAGCGATGCGCGTGAAGAAGGCCATGGAGATGCGAAGGATCTCCAAGCTGCAGGCAGACCAGCCGTCGGCGACGGTGACGAAAAAATCGGCCCTGAACGCGGTCGATCCCGCGGACGATCATGATACCAAGAACGGCTCGAACGAGTCCAGCCCGATGAAGATCCAGGAGATCAACGGCGACGTCAACACGATGACGTACGAGGAGGAATTGTCGGCGGAGGACATCCAGATGTTCGAATCGGAGAACGAGCAGCTGTACAACGAGCTGAACACCATGACGGAGGAGGTGAAGCAGATCGAGAGCAAGGTGGTGCACATCGCTGAGCTTCAGGAGATCTTCACGGAGAAGGTTCTGGACCAAGACAAGGACCTGGACAGGCTGATGACGACGGTGGTCGGATCGACGGAGAACGTGAAGGAGGCGAACGAGCAGATCCGCCAAGCGATCCAGCGGAACGCCGGCCTCAGGGTGTGGATCCTCTTTTTCCTTCTGGTGATATCATTCTCGCTGTTATTCCTCGATTGGTACAATCCATAAGAGTATCCATATATATATTAATGGATCTCCGAGTTGCTTTTAAGATACGAGAGTGAGGCGATGTACAATGTACATTGTATATTTATAAGAGATGTTTGATACAATCCGTAAAATGTATTTCTATTATTAAATTATTGAATTTTACGGATCGTATCAATTGTTACTTTCGTAAGAATGAAAGAAGAGACACTAAAAGGTTGGAAGAATAGAAAGAAAGAGAAAGAGAGAAACGTCTGCCAAAAAATATGTTGCTATATTTTATCCCCGGACATTATTGTACATAATAGCTATAACTTACTATATGTGGGGAATAAACAAAATAATATGAACACTTAGAAAATATACTATTTATTTTATATTACTTGTTTTATTAACCCTTGAACACCACACTATTTTCGCCACCTGATTTCACCACGCATGGGTTACGATAACCTTGGAGTCTTCTTTTGCTGTTATCCCGGGATCTAATGCATCAATTTTAACTTTTTTTTTTAATCGATACAACGGACAATAAGGAAAAAGAATATATAGATAAGAATATCATAAAATTTCTGGTAACCAAGATATTTTGAAAAAAAAAAGAAAGAAATTTTCAAAAATTATTTTTTCAAACGGACTGGGTTACCGTAACCCAGTGTGGTGTTCAAGGGTTAATAAAAGGTTGGCCCACCATTTGCTTTTGAAGCATACCTTCTGTCTTTGTTGGAATAGAGTCAACAATGCTTAAACAGTTACCAATAAAATATTATTTTATATAAATACTATTTTAAAAGCTTATATATTTATATATATTATATATATTTTAGCTTATATAAATAATATTGGAGGAGGAAATTTACTTTTCACTTTATTTTTGAAAATTGTCCTCTGTTCTTCAAAACTTCTGTTATCGCCTGATTATAGGCTGGGAAAGATAAATCATTTGTAGTTTTTAAGAACAGAGTGAGACTTCCTCCTTCGATATCTTTTAAGCAATTATAGGATGTTCTGCTAGAAGAATGGTACAATATTGCATTGTCGCAGTTATTACACTATTCAAGCATGCATGATTCTAACAAAGATGGAATCTATATTAAAGACAAACGATACGCCAACTTCTTATTAATAAAATAAGTAGATAGAACATCTTTCAATTGCTTATATAAATAATATTGGAGGAGGAAATTTGCTTATCACTGTATTTTTCAAAATTGTTCTGTTCTTTAAAATTTCAACATCTTTCTTGGCATGTAATCGCCTGATTTAAATATCGAGTCATTTGTAGTTTTGAAGAGCAGAGTGAGATTTCCTCCTCCAATATCTTTTAAGCAATTAGAAGAGATTGTATTATATTTCTCTGGTATTCACATATTATTTTGTCAATCCCCTGTACATATATATACATATATATAATAAAATTTGTATATATTTACTTATATACAACGTGTCTTCGCACATGTGCACGTACAAAAACATACACCTCGGTAATTTACTTTAATGAAACTTGAAGTTTTGCCAATTACATTTCTAACATCGTGTCCATCAAGGAACTGTTCTTATCTTTCATAAAAATATTCTCTTAAGACTTCTGTTTCCTTTCCCTGCAATCGTAACGAATTATGAGAGATCAGAAACTGAAAAAACGGAAGTTAGTTCTTTTATATATAATTTTTCTTTATGTAAAAATTTTATATTTTTAGAGAGAATGAATATCGAATGAGTGCGAAAAAGTTAATTTATCTTGAATTTGATAATTTACATCGCAAGGAAACAAATTCACTTCATTTCTGGTCTCTTATATAATTCCACGTGGTGAGAAAACAGAAGTCTTAATGTCGTTAAATTAGTTAGATCTGCTAGACATGTAAATGTGCCCGTTTATAAAAAATCAATAGAAAGCGGAGTAAGAATTTATTTATTGATTCCGCGTCGTTTCCTCGAGAATATCTGCATTGACTGAAATTAATCATGTGTTTCTTGCCTACGTATGAGAGCAATTCGGCGCGGCACAATTATGATTGAATTATTGTAAAGATACGATTTCTTAAGATGTTTTACACACGATAAGGATTTACCTATGTCGTGTATAAAACTGACCTGCGGTTCCCGCGCACACGTCTATTTTTATACAAAATCTTACAAAAGTGTAAAGCATTATACACATATCCTCGTACGATGAATTGCCGTATAAAAATGCATGAATTATATCGATCATCAGTCATTATCAAACGTACAAATGTAAGATAGAAAGAATAATTCGGGGATGTGTCTAGAGAAAATACAATGTAGTCAATACATCGCGTACATGCTAGCGTATCAGAAACGGTAAAATATTATAAAAAGAGGAATATTATTATAAAAGGAGGAATTCGAAAAATATCAAGATTTTTGATTGTAAAGTTATCCTTTCGTCTTATTGCAATATGACGTGGAAGGCCGAAAAAAAAATGGAAAAAACTTGGAAAACAAAAGAAAATATATTCTAGTAGCCACATTGATCGTAGACGACTTACTCACGATTGTAAAAATAACAGTTTTCTAATTAACGAAAACTCCTAATTTGGTATACAAGTATAACTGTAACGTGGATGGTTTTGTGGGCAGAGTTTGCCCTCGATTATACACTGAACTACCCACGTGGTGGATAGAATTGGAATATTTAGTTGAATCGCCCTTTTCTGTGCCCACAACGGACACTTCCAGTTAGACACAACCACTACAGTATTGGCAAAATCCGTCTCCATGGCATCTGAAAAAAAAAATAAATAAATAAAAGATTCCATAAGTTTTTCTATGAATCGTAATTTTGAGATAACACACGCGCGCGCGCGTGTGAAATAATTTTATTTGAATTTCTATACATATTTAATAAATGATGTACTCTTTATCTTAATATATATATATATTATATGTATATCAGTAATTACTGAAAAGCAAATTTGCTTTAAAGAAAAAACTTATAGTTCTTGACGACGAAATCAAATACCTGAGCTCTCCGCGATTATAACTACCGCCCCCGCGTGCTCGCAGACTTGCCGCCAGAATGTGGCAAATTGTGGCAAATTGATGGATGCCAGACTAGGAATTATCACGACGATTTCTGAGAATGGTTTCTTTCTAAACGTCTCATACGATTCTACGTAAGTTTTTCTCTGCAAACTCCAGCCGTTTGGAAGAGCAACATCATCCTTGTTGACGGTCTTTTCCTAAAAACGTACGATCAAATGTTTGACTGTTATACGTGACGCAATTGTTGGTAATTTAATCAAATACGATAATAGACGAAATCATGATGACATACAGCGAAAATATTGTAAAAGAAACTACACTGAAAGGAAGATGTATATAATAAAGATATAAAGTGTACATCCAACAAACTTTTTATATAAAATTTATTTTAACCTTTGGAGGACCGGAGGTCCCTTTTGGGACTCAACAGTGACGCCACCTTTTTCGCCATTCAACCCCATGATGGCTACGATTCACTTGACGCTACAAACGCTTCAAAGCGACCAATCAGAACAAAGAATTTTACGAATTGACTAATCAAAGAATGCTTCAAAGCGTTTGTAGCGTCAAGTGGACCGCAGCTGATATTGGGCGAGTTCAAGACGGCAAAATGGCTAGGCATGCTTACCGAGCAATTGAATATGATTGGTTGGATCTGTAAGTAACAACCAATTATATTCATTTGTTTGGCGAGCAGGCTAGCCGCTTTGTCAACTTGAACGCGCCCATTGGCATTGATATTCTGCATTCAGTGGGTGCATTCAGAATTACAACCGCTCACTGAGCGCTCAGTGAGCGCTTGCATCTTATTGGTATATTCCGTTAGAACTAAAAATATAGAACAAACAGATACAAGAGCTCACTGAGCGGTTGTAGTACTTGAATGCACCCAGTACCACGACCGCTCACTGAGCGCTCAGAGAGCTCTTGTATCTGTTTAGTCTATATTTTTAGTTCTAACGGAATATGCCAATCGGGTGTAAAAGCTCACTGAGCGCTCAGTAAGCGGTTGTAGTACTGAATGCACTCATTGACAAAAAAGTTCTAGCCTTTAAAATAAAAAAGTCGATTAAAAACATGCCGGTCCTCAGAAGGTTAATACTAAATAACGTTATCTAGATTTGTTAGACTAACGCTGCCCAAAATTTGTAATTCTGGTTATATTTGTTTACGTATAATCTATAATCTTCCTTTTTCTATTTTTATTAAGAAAATGGAAAACATGAAATGGGGAGTCATTATTAAAGCTCTAGATATACCAAAGTAGCGCATTTCTTTGATTTGGGTATCAATAATGAAACTATCCCTAGGATGGAAAGTGAAAATTTTAACCATTAAAGTTAATGGAGAAATTTTTCACTTTTCATCCTAGGAAAAAAGTTTCATGATTAATACCCTGAGCCGAAATGCCGACAACTTTCCTATTGCCTATTTTGACCGTCATTTCGATCTAGGCTGCGTTCCACTTAACGCTCGCAACGTTCGCGAGCATCGTTTGTCCTTGTTTAACATTTGATAAACGATAAGGATGAAATGATTCCACGAGCGTTGTGAGCGTTAAGTGGAACGCAGCCCTAGTGGTTCGATCTGTTGTTCAATAAGCGCTTAGGGTGCATTCGGGCACTATTAGTACTACTTGTATCTTTCTATCTTCATTTATTAAACGTAAAACAAAGATAGATGGCACAAATAGCGCTAATAGTGCGCTCCTCGAATGCAACCTTAGTAATATTGGCCACGTTTACACCGTGTATTTAGGCTACAGCCTATACAATAGATGTCCTTGTTTATCTTGTAGGTTAAACAAAGGCACCTATTGTATAGGTCGCGGACTAAGCGCACGGTGTAAACGTAACCATTGGTATAGGGTATGGTTAGTAAGTAAAAAATGGAGACTCGTTGCGCTACTTCGAAATATCTAGAGCTTTAGTCATTTAATGAGTTAAGGGATAATGAAATGATAATCTGTTTTGAGAATCCGTATTTTCTTTACATTAAACAGGTAAGAAATTAATATAGAATAAGGGATATCGCGCTACCTCTAAACAGCTTCTGATGACAAATTCGTGATTGCATACGTGGATGCCGGCCGATAGACACAATATGTTCTTTGCCGTGGTATTTGGCACGTTCGTGATGAGTATTGTTTCCTTGTATTCGTTCTCCGGTATCTTCTCGAAGTCCTCGTAAATCTTCCCGCCTCCTGCTATGATCTGTTCGTGAAGTCTTTCGCGTACAAAATGTCGCTTCACCCAATCGTCCTCGTATTCTGTTTCGAAATCCGTTTCGGTGGCTTCCGTTTCCGTGTTCGACAAAGTGTTGGTCTTTGTATCCTGAAACCTGAAATGGTGCAGAATGAGTTAGTGGATATTGAATAGAATTCTTAATTTAAACAAAAAATGCAGATAATGCTTTGTGTCTTAAGAAAGGTAGCTGTATTTTGTTCATTTTTTAATATTTTTATATTATTCCAGTGGCTGCCGAAAGTTTTCAGCTAACATATAATTTTA